ATCTTCTAAAATATTTAATAGTTATTCTGTTATCACTTTATTTTTATATTGAATAATGTAATGTTAAAAGTGCTCCTGAAGCAACCAAAAAATCAGTACAGGTATAGTTTTATTGCAATTTAATATGTGTCAGAAATATGAAAGATTTTTATAGCACACAAACACTTGTTAGCCTTATTTCGCCTTATTTCGCTTGGCGAACCTAGTTTCAAGAAAACTAGGAAACCAGGTTGTGAAAACATTATGAAAAGGAAAGTAAATACACAATCATAAAGTTTAAAAAACACAACACAAAAACGTTTGGTTGCATATTAAGAGTTTTTTATCGTTTTATCACCCCGTTTCGTGAAAGACTTAGAATTCTTTCATCAAAGTCATTGAAGTAAATTGTCTAAAGCCACAATTGCGTTAGCATCAAATTATCCTGCCCTACAATAGATTAAAGAAACGACTGAATGTGAACATTTATTCGTTATGACAAAACTGCTAATGATTATTTCAGAAACAATAACGATTTAGCATTCCCGTAATAGAGAATGTTAGGTTTTTCATTGCTTGTCAAGAAAGATAAAAGTGTTTCAAATATATTCTCCAATAAAAAAGGTATAAAAGCAAAGCACTAACATTTTGTATATTTAAAACATACTCATAATTGAAGATAGCAAATTTTATTTATCACAGGATTTATAGGCTGTAAAAATGCGTGCTGGTGTCTTCTCTCAAACCGATTGGCTGTGAGGTGTTTGGTTTGCGATTGCTTTTCCATAAAGAAACAGAATCATGTACACAACACAATATACAATATTAATATAATAATTTAAAAATTTTATCTCTGGTTCAGGTGCATGAGAAAATCAATATTCAAGCTAATAAAAATTATATCTGTTAAAAACTAGCTAGGGAGAAATTTTACGGTTAAAAATAACCTGATACGTTTGATGCATTTGCCATCCTTTTAAAAATGCATATGTAATGGATTTTAAAATTTTTTAAAAGTTTTTCTTTTTTTTGCTTAGGTCGAGACATTTTTAATGAACACATGATAAATGGTTAAGCTTTTAGTCCTCTAATTAACCAATTTTTATACCATTACCATAATTATAAACTATTTATACAAAATTCAGACTCAAAGAAACAATTGCAAAAATCATCTAATTAAAATTTTACGTTTCATTTGCTTAGGGTATTTCTGCAAAATTACAATCGGTAAAATACTGATAAACTCTAGCCTTTTTAAAATTATTAAACTGTTATTTTATTTGTGATTTTAAATTATAGGAACTAAAGTTATAACATAAATAAAATAAAAAACTGAAATTTTACTATGACAAACAAATTTATAATGCATATTAAAAGACAGTGATATGTGTGCTACATGTGTTTTTGAGTAGAGCATACTCTTGATTTTCTTGTTTGTTTTTTTTAATTGATAAACAATTTTTAAAAATTTTTAAATTTTTTAATACACTTGTTTCTGACATACAATGGCTATATTTCACAACACAATATCAATTTTTTTGTTTCAGCTTATTGATCAATAAATCAGCTAAAATTAATCAAAGTTAGTGAATTAGTTCTTAATTTCTAATTATAAAAAGAAGTATTTATGATAATATTGACTGAAAAAATACTATTTTAAATAATGTTTCCCATTTCCCAGTTAACGACAAGTTCAAACTGAATAATTAAATAAAGTTTAGTGTCGAAACTGATAGGGTGTCTAAAGCGCTTTCTACCGATAATAGCTGAAATTGACAAATTCCGCATAAAAGAATAAAAAACTTTGAAACTTTTAAATTGTGCTTGAGTTAGGGAAATGTATTTCACTGTCGTTACGAAGTCAGATAAACATCCACTTTAAGTTCTGATAACTAAAAAGTATGAAATCAACAAAATTCAATAAAACATTATTTTTCACATTTAGCTTAATAAGACACAAGTCTATTTTTTGCATCATTACCTCTAAATAAATTACACTTATTATATTACCATAATGAAAATCTGTAAACAAAAGCGGCAAGATGCCAAAACCACAAATTATGATTGAAATGGACAAAAGTTATGAGTAACAATGCTAATTAAATGAAAATCCTACTCAGCGATGTTATAGTTTAATAAAAACTAAAAAAAATGCATTGACCAAAAGAAGATACCAAACCAAAGCTATTTCTTAAAGATCATTTTTCATACTTATTTTTGGAAATCTGTATTTTCTTATTTACTTACGAGTATGACAATAAACACAGTGCCACTGTAAAATATTGGTTGGTTATATAAATCATAAATATTTTATCACTATTATTTTTTTCTATTTGTTTCTATGAGTTTATTAGATTATAACATAAATTTTTGATTCAAATATTAGCTTAAGCTGACAACATTATCCAACTTGACTAACGTTGGCAAAGTGTGAAGTTGGTCACATCACGGCACATTGTGTAGTGTAGTATACGTACACAACAAACTTTGTCAAAGTTGATGTACTTCCTCAATTATAGAAAAAAAAACAACTAGTTGCAATTTTTTAACAAAGTAATAGTAAGAAAAAGAATAATTTTCTAATTACTTAATTTATTTCAAAGAATAGAAAAAATACAATTGTATAACCATAAGTATATTTTTTATATTATTAGTGACTCACCAACTAACTAACTAGTAGACTAGTACTACTAGTAAACTAGTAATCCTCTTAGTCAATATTCTAGTCTATTTCCGCACTCTCAGCTTTTACATTTATCATACCCAACCGACGCAGATGTTCTCTAACACGAAACCCTAAAAATTACAAAATCGACCCGCAAAAAAGACAGATATTAATGTTTAATTAGCCAAGTTTCATGAATCAAATTAAATAATATTTTTTAGCCTAAGAAAGATTTAATAACAGCTATATTTTTTTATTTGGTTTAAAGATAATTGTCTTTCCTTAAAACTCATATAATGAATTGTTGAGTCAAACTAATAAACCATAAACTACCTGACTTAATTATTCAACATAAACTAAGCTGACATAATAACTTGCTAAAGCAATGCTGATACAATGTAATGAATCATCTAGACACTGGGTTCGTAGTACTCAGAATTTAGTGCAGTATTATTCTTAACTTATAAAACTGCATTCATAAATTTAGTTAATTAAATTAGGGTATTTATAACGTTTCAAAGGTTTTATCCCCAATCACACAAATACATTCTTTTAATTAAATCATATTCTACATTTTCGCAAGATTAACGCTAGTCTAATAAAGAGAAATTATTTTTAAAAAATACCCAAACAATCAAAACCCAAAACAGCTAATACGTATTTTGCAAAATAACTTGATAATGTTGGTATCATCTAAACGATCAATTTATCACATTCATTTAGTTACAACAAAAAGATGGGAATGCTAAAATTATAGTTTTTTCATACATCAAAATTATTAACTTGGTTTGCAAACAACGACTATGTTTTGCATTTTTTATTACGTTATTACTAATTTTTAAATGAAATGAAAACAATTGATGTGATAATACACTACTCCAAAAAATTAAATGAACAAACAATTTTTCTAATTTTTTCAGTCATTTTTTAAAAGTGGTCGTATCTAGATTTAAAAAAAAACATTCTGAAGCTTTAAGTTTCTAGTTTTGAGATCTTCTGACAAAAAAAAATTCTGTGCGACAAATTGACGTAAAGAGAATATGAAAATAGCATATTAAAGGTGAACGAACATGCTATCCGACCTCTGCACTGACTTAACTAAAAAAAAATCTCCACGTCCGTGGATCAAAAACAAAAAAAAATAGAATTTTTTTGTGGCGCTGTTACTTAGGTTTGCGTGATAACCGTAGTACAGCAAAAAAAATTGACAAAAGATCTCAAAACTAAATCTAGATACGACCATTTTTAGATAAATCACACAAAATCACCAAAGAATTTAGGAAAATTGTTTGTTCCTTTAATTTTTTGGAGTAGTGTTAATGTAAAGCAATTTCTAGCCCGGCGCATCCACCATTTTTTTCTATTAGAGTATGTTGCTATACAGATTTTTAGAAAACTTTAAAATTATTTTTTAAGTTTCTAACAAAATTTACACAGAACATTAGATTAACCTGTGCATCATTTTTCATCACAATAAAATTAAAATTTCAATTTTATATTTGTACTTATCTAAAATAAAATGTTAAATTTGGTTTTAACAAATAAAACTGATAAGTCACTGTAGAAATGATTTCCTTTTTTGGCTTTGAGCTGTATTCAAGCTTATCTCAAAATTTATCTTCTTAAAATAGCGCAAGTAAAAAAGTTGTTACTTTGCTATCAAATAATTATCCTCGGCGGCAAATGAAAAATAGATTTCTTTAGAGTGTTGTAGAAACTTTATAGCCTAGAGCGCTCCAGATTTAATCTTGTATACAATGCTAACAAAAACACAGAATAGCTATATCACAATTGGTGTATTATGTCGTTTATTTGACTTTAACGCAGTGTTGTCAGCAATACGAAATCGTAAGCTTGAAATATTATTTGGAATAGTCATACATCAACGTAATGCTAGCTGATATATGACATGAGACAATTTTTGATTCTAAAAAATCACAAACAAAAATAAAATCTAAAATAGCAAAAGCTCGCGTTCCTTGTACCTCGTTAATATTATTAATAGTACAAAATTGTTCTCATATCAGGGAATAAAATTAACACCAATGTAATTAATTAGTATTAGTTTGCTTTCACTTTTCATACAAACGACAACTAGAACGCCAATATCAGGTAATATTACAATGTTTACTGATGAAGTGATGAATTATAAACACGTATAATGAAAATATGATTGCCCAAAAAAATATAATTGTTCCCCAAAACACGTTTTTGTACCAATTTTAATTTATACCAGAAAACATGTTGGGGGCAGAAATTATAAAACCGATCATTTACCTCAAAGTGGAATAAAACTGTGTTCGGAGTTTTTTCGAATTTCCCGTTTACTTATGAACGTGACTTGAAGAAAACTTACCACGTGGGACGCGTCCTGAAGGAGACCATACACAATGTGTTTCACTCGCGACGCTCGAGTTGCTACTGAAGCATCGGGACGCATCCTGTTCAGGATGTCTGATCTATCTTGCGTTGCGCTTGTGTCACGATGATACTAGACCATATAAACAGTTCATCTACTCTATATACCAACATAAATTTTAAACCACAACATCACGTCGCAATCATTATATTCATCTTCGAAAGATAATAACTAATAAGCAAATCTCTTGATTACTGAACCACATCATAACGCGACACATTTTTAATGAAGTTATCCTCTTGTAGTCATGTTCTTTCAATTTCAAATTGCTATAACGAACGGCACGTTTTTTGCTTGTTGTGCTGATTAATGTAAGACTCTCAGGTAGAAATAAAATTTTAATGAACACAATATTTGTATCGGGTGGATGCGAAATCGATTTTAATTTGTGTTTTAAAAATTATTAGTACGTTCACTAGCAGATATAAATATTTTTTATTATGATTAATATGACGTACTTTTTAATAAAATGGCACAGAAAGAAAGACAATAATAGTTTAATTTACGATTTTGTTTCATTTTTATTTTTCCTTTACCTAGTGCTAAATTTCCCATGTATTCATTAGGTCGTTACGATGTCAACTACTATACAAAGCTACATGTTGTTATCATTGTGACAAATGCATGGTTTAAATACATGAAGCGCACTTTTCTCTCCTACTCTACTCACTTTTATGGCGGAAGTTGGAATGTCCGTCATGGCTAATAAATTTTTGATGCCATATAAATAAACGATTATATTCACTTACAATAGAATTCATTTGAATATACGAACAATATCCCTTTTACAAAAAATATAATGCCTAAAATGCTATACAATTACAACTTTATTATCAACTAAAACACAAGCAGAACCATGCGCATTATTAGACAAATATTTGTTATTGTTGAAGTAAGTATTTATGCATAGTATTTATGCAAATAACTTATTGCAAAACCAAAAACTTTTTGTTGCCTTAAAAATAGAAACTGATGTTTTTATAAATCACTTAGTGTAACTAAATTTTGTTACAATAATTATATTTTGCATGCCTGGTGTAAAAATACCCTATGAGAGCCAAAAATAGGAAGCGATGCCACCTGCAATGTTAATATCAAGTTGGGATACTGTTCCTTTACGAATTCAAACATTTCACAAGATAGCGGAAAAGCGGTAAAATAGTGTCTCCTGGTGACGGCGATTGAACATAGTTGTGGAAATAGGTCACGTTAAATAAACGAATGCAAATGTGGTGTATATTCTACAACATCAAAGTTATTTGCACATTTAAAAGTAGTGTCCCAAACCCGACGGATGTTTATAGCAGACGATTGGGTAATAAAAAATCTGGATCGAAATTAAGGCGTTTTACGCATTAAAAATTTAATTCAGTGTCACTTGATTTATTGTCGTTAAAATTTAAGTTGATTATTGCTCCGAGAAATGAAAAATTAGACACTGTCTAGAATCACGGAGAAATATTTTTTGTAGAATACTTGCTAAGAACTGGAAGTAAGAGAAGCATTCATTTTTTAGATTTTATTGACTACAAAATAATATTTAAGTGATGGCAAACAGAAAAATACAAGGTGGGAGGATGTATCTGCATAAAAAAACTAAAAAATGTTTGATGCATAAACGATTGAAATGGAGTAGTGAAATTTAATTAAACAGGCTTTGGTGCAATATATTGACAATTTCAAGTGAAATTAAAAGTGTTAAGAGCCAAAATACGCTCTGTTTAATTGAAATCCATTCTAAAAACAGTATAAATTTGTTTCGAATAACTCACATAATCTTGTGATAAAGTTTAATAAAATCGTGGTAAGTTTTTCGCACCACTACCGTGTTACTGACTCGTTACTGACATTATTTAGCAATATTTATCTTATCTGGTATTTGGTATAAAATTGCGTTCTTAAGCAGTATGAAACAGTAGCAAAATTGTATTATAAGTAATAATTTTTCAGACCAGTGAGAGAATAAATTGAGATTATCGTAGAATGCCAGAAACGATTAATATAATATTGAGTGGTAAAAAGTAAATTCCAGCCTGGGGTTTCAGTCGAGCAATTACGTTCAGATCCAACGCTTTCGTTATCACTTCCTATCCGTTTTATTCCTTTCGCCCCAGTTTGTTTTTATTTTTATAATTCCCTTAAATACATGCCTCGATTCAGATCCCCGAACCAAATAAATCGATGCCATTCCATATCCACATTTGTTATGAATTTTAATTTTTCTTTAGCCTCGATTTCAACACATTCGTTTTCTGTCCAACTCCGTGTATTACAAAATTTCGAATTCAATTAGGTACGAATGTAGAGCATCATTAAAACATTTTTATCTCATTTTTATGTACCGTTTGTTCCTTATTTCCTTACTCACTCACAAAAACTCAGCAGCATCGAATAATTGAATTACTATAGAATCTTTAGTAAAATAACAAATAAAAATATCTTTTTTATCTTTTTTATTGTCAGAGTAATCGAAGAAATACGGAGCTCTGGGACAAAATTTGCTAAAACCTAACTCGTTCTGTTGAAGAAAACGATGAAAATCTAGTTTCTATTAATATCAACAAACTCATTCCGTAATAAAATTTATTGAGCGATGAGTATGTTTCATACATTAGAGAACAAATAACAACTGATTTATGTTGGTAATAATGGGGAAAATAACGATTAAATTTTATAATTAATAACAGAAACAATTGCCGCGAGAATTTCCATGTAACTTCGGTCAAAGTATTTGCATTATTGTGGCTTTTAGAGTTAGATATGCTTAATTAAAACACACTGCTGAACAAAAAAACATTTTGCTAATTGCGGAGTATTAAAAATAAGCACGTAGAATCTACAATAAAGTACATCAGATTTAAAATATGTAAAACGAACTTGGGTACAGTTTAGTTTCTTTTAAATTTAGTTTCGCTCATATAGTTTTAAAAAATTGAGTGATTTAATAATAGTGTAAGCTATACCGATGTATGGATGTCGTAACACCCGCAGAAGTAAGTTTGATTCCGAACGGAGAGACAATTATGACATTGTTACATCTGTGGTTTGTTCAGATTTTATAGGTTCTTGTCAATTATTTGGATTTTAGAAACTTGAACCCAAAAACTGGTTTTAAAGAAATTAAATGTTTATATGACACGTTCAGGTGTTATAGTGACATTTTGTAATTTATATAAATAGAACGACAGTGTTTTATCAGAAAATATCTTAAAATAAACGAAACAAGTTTTAAATACCAAAATACGGAAAAAATCAAAAGAAAGGTAAAGCCTACAACACATCTCTATCAAATAATTATGACTCATGTCCAATTTTGTAAATTAATTCATTTAAATTTGAGTTTTATTAAATTAATTAAAATTTGGGTTACACGTTAATTTTCTCAGAGCAATCTATTTCTTGGTAAAGCACTAAACAAAATTTACTGCTACAATATAGCTATAGGTTGTGTTTGTTGCGATGTACGAAAAAGTCTCAATCTTCTCGTCCTTGTGTCAGAAAATCAAACATAACACTCTTTACTGGAAATGGTACCGCGTACTGTGTGATACGAATTAGTCACTTACACGCTAACAATGATATTACACTTACAACTTTGAATAACACACAACTCAATTAATTAGAACTTGAATTTACATTTACTTCTTGCCGTAATTTTGTTTAAATGAATAAAATCAATATTTTCTATTTACTTTTCAATTATAATTTTCATCTGTGACGCGTGTACCTGCCATAGTGATTGTATTTAGATACAATAATAAGTTATTATTAGAAAATGCTAATTTTTGAAATATAAACTAATTGAAACACTAAATTCTATTTTTATATAATTCACTTATTATGTATGTTTCGTTTGTAAACGAACAAATCAGATAGAAAGTGAATGTATAAACATATATTGACACAAAAATTATTTTTGTCTATAAAACTAACTACACTACGAAAGATAAGTTTAAAACTAGTTAAAACGACTTTACGTCATTGTTATTTGCCCCGCCTGTACATACATCATGGTGCACTTGTTACAATGATGATGAAATAAATGAAATATTTTTTATCAAAAAATCTACACTTCAAACTAAAATTTCATCATTTTGGGAAAACAACCTTTATCCGGTCTACTGATTGAGTCTTGAATAGGAGACATCCCAATTTTTTTATACTTGTAAGTGCAAAATGCAATGGATACAATCGTTTTTCTTAATCATAACTTTTGTCAATAAAATAGGTATTATTATCAATGTACACAGTTAGAGAATATTATTTTTAATACATTTTTTGTATTTAACTATCAAATTAAATGTAAGCATTATTTTTAATAGAAGAAATAGAAATAGAATTTTTTAGAAATGACTGAGACTATAATATTGGGAATAACTTTTATTATGAATTTAAATCGATTAAGTTTTTCTCAATAGTTTACAAACTCATTTTGCTAGGTTTCACATTTTGTTGTCCGATATCAAATGTTTCAAAACTCAAACCGCAAACGTCATTATTTACTAACAATTTAACCAACCAATTTTCACCAAATTAATTTAAAATCAAATACCCCAAAAGATGTATTCAAATCACTCATACAATTAGTTGTAGATATAAAAAAGACTAGATAAAATAAGAATATGATAAACAAAAGAAGTACTTATTTTAAAATTGCAGTTTATTTCAGTAAACTTACTCAATTTGTCATAAAAAATGTTTTTTTATGATTTTCTGAAATATTAATTTTGCTTATCTATACAAGCAAAAACTAATATTTGATAAAGTGTCTCAGGCACGAAAAAATTATGAAAACTTTTCTGTTGTGTATGTCATGATCTAACATGCATATTATTTCAAAATCACTCTGTATTTGTAAAAGAAGTATTTCCAGTCTTAAAAATTAAATATATGACAAACCATTTTGACAAAAAAAATTGTAGATGGGTCAATTTATGATTATTTAAATTTATGTAAAACCCAATATAACTTACAAACTATTACAAAAACATAATAAACTTCAAAAGTATAATTTTTTTATAAATTTTGTAAATATGTGATAACACAACAATTTGATAACAAATAAAATTGATATTGAGGTATTCGTAATTATGAGCATAATGCAAATGCCACTTGTGGAATGTACAGATATTATAATTAATGTTAATTAAAAACCACAACAACAAATAATAAATTTATTGTCATTCTCACACAAAAATTACAAAATTATTACCAACTTAAGAAAAAAATACAATACTGTCAAGACAAACAAGGGAAATATCTTTATGGCTATTTCTCCATGACTAGATGAACTTCCTAAATCATTCAGTTAATCCCAGGAAGAGTACCACCGGCCTTCATCATATTTTCCGAAGTTCTTTGAAAGCGCTCATCCCAGTCTTGTAAAAAATCTGCAACTGCTGAATGTCCAAACGTCAAAGCTTCATCCAGCGGAGACCTTCCCCATCTATCTTTTATGTCATGTTGTACATTGCACTGTTGTAAAAGGAAATTGACACAGTGGATATGACCCTCTGCTGCTGCCAAATGGAGAGCCGTACGTCCGTCATAGTCGGCCAAAGTCATATCCATACCGGAAAGTTTATGCCTGGAAAAGCAACTAAACCCTCGGACATCAGCTTAAAGGTCAATACCTTCTGAGTCCCGGTAAATCACCAGCAGCTGCCGAAAATAACAAATTAACCACATTCATCCCTTTGGTTTCAAATTTATGTTTTCTAGGGTCAGATTTGTTAGAAGAGTGTAAGAGATTGTCGTATCTGTGGAAATTGAATTTTTTTACCAACTCCTGTAAGGTTTACGTAAAATGGATTCCATTATTTAATTAATCACAAACCTCACAGAATTGCACTCCCCTACAGCTATTACCTAATGGATCTAAAGGTGGGGACCAAAGGGATATTCCCATGACATTTGGAATCACTACTAACAAAGCCCCGCTGACTCCTGACTTTGCTGGTAGACCGACCTAAAATCAATATAAGCATATATTTTTTGAGAAGGATTAATTCAATTTGCAACCTTGAATGCAAATTGACCGGAATAGTCGTACATTCCGCAACTGTGCATCAATGACAACACGTCACGGACACTCTCCGATTTTAAAACTTTTTCCTCGGTTAGGGGACAAATTCCCCCGTTCGCTAACGTAGCCCCCATTACAGAAAGAGTATCGCTGCTCATCTCCAAAGAACAGCACTGGAAAAATGTTATTTCACAACTCATCAATTTTTTTTTGTCTAAATCACCTGGAAGTAAAAATCCATGCATTCCTTGAAATTGGTTTTCTCGGGAAAACATTTGTGTTCTCTCATGTAGAAACCTAAAGCGTAATTCCGATCAGCCGCTTCTCTCTCCGACAAAAATACGGCATTATTGAACCCTAAATCTTCTCCTCCTGCTAATCGCTAAATCCCAATTACGAAAGTGTTAAAAGCAAACACAATACAAAAATGATGTTTACCGCAAGTAAGCAAACATAATTCAATTATAGCTTCCGAGAGTGTGACTTACCACAAAATAGTTTAGAGTGTAGTCAAACTTCTCTGCGAGGGTCATTTCAGGACCGGCGACGGTTTTGAGGAGAGCACAAACCAAAATTGCCCCAGCGTTAATCATGGGATTATGTGGTTTCTCTGCAAGGTTACTACAATACATAAACATTAAAATAATTATGTCTTCTAGTTTTACTATTATGGTCTAGGATTAGCTCGTTGAAATTTCTACCACTAGGTTCTTGTCCCACGTATTTATGAACCACCTCTTCTCCTAACAGATCCAAAGCGATCCCATAAGTAAGGGGTTTACTGCAGGATTGGATCGTGAAGGGGATATTGACATCCCCAATAGAAAATCGTTGACCATCTATTGTGCACACACTAACACCCCAATAATTCGGATTCATCCGCTTCAATTGCGGGATATAAGACGCTACCTACAACAAAGATGTGACCCATTGCTGGATTTCGGCTAATCCATTACTTTGCCGTTTGTGTTTTCCTTGCATTTCCAATAAATCTCCTCCAATTCTTTGCAAAAATCTTGGAATTCGGGAATTATGAACTGGTGACGAAACGCACGAGAGATCAAACCGATACAAGGTGACACGATACTATAAAATACATAAACTACTTTACTACAGATTGTTTGCAATTTAAACAATTGTTCAAGACCTTGACGAAGAATTATAATTTATGTACCTTCGAAAAGTTTCCAAATTTAATCTCTGAGTATCAGTCTCTTTTTGGGTGCGTTTTAGAGTTTCCATCATTTCCTTTAATCGAGGGTCACTTTTGCGCAAACCAGTAGTCCTTAAAGCCTGAAGTAAAAACGTCAAAAAAATTACAAAAACAAATCAATTAGGTATTACTGAGAGAAATTTCCCTATAGAGAGTAATCCTGTCTCCTCACTTTTGAACATTTCAAATAAAGCATCCTCGTTCCTGTTTTCACCACTACAATAATAAAAACAAATTTTAACTAAAATAAAAAATTTACCCAAAAAATAAATCATGAACAAAAAAAGACTTACTAACGCATATAATTAAAGTCATGGATAAGAGAAAATTTTCTTCTGTAATAAAATAAAGTTTAAAATAAAAAACAGGGTAAAAATAAATAAAAATTCAATACCTATGCACTTTAGATGCAGCATTCGGTTGTTGGACACGATCCTAAAATTTTCTATAAGTACCTATAAGACGAATAAATTTGAATCTGTTACTCACATTTTTTTCTGAAGAATGTTTCACTGATGAGAGTAGTTTTATTAGAGCATTGCCAGACCTTGTTATTTGAGTTTTGTTTAAATTAAATAACAACGATTTTGATATTAAACTTTTCATTTTGTATGTGATCGATATGTGACTATTTCGTAACGCGACGTCGCAATCAATTGGAACAGCAGAACCGCGCTGAAACTAGGCGCATGACTTTTTAAACTCTCAAGGAGTGTTGTGCCACCTTTCGGGATATTTGATATCAGAAATATTCAAATTTGCAAATCATTAAACCGTAAATAACACCACATTACATTGTTACAAAAAATTACAAGAAAAAAAGATGGGGATCAAGAAGGTATTTCTTTAATACAGAATTTGATTTTTTTTGACAAAGATTTGACCAAAGGCATGTGACTGAAAGATAAATTGGCTATTGCCCGGAGTAAATAAGTAATGTGATTATTTGTTGTATTTTCAATTATTGCATAATTTTGCAAGCACATTGCAACTTGAATTATTAGAGATAAGTTTACTAATCGTACCGTTATCAGTGTTTCAACTAAATACTAATAAATGTACTTTAAACTAAACTAAAAATAATATCTAAAGTGAATCTTAGAAAATATGACAAACTGATTAAAAAAAAGTGTGAATACTGACTGCGGTCAAAGATTTATTGTCACATACTTAGCTATATGAAAATAAAATAATGCTGATTCTGATTACAACGAAACAAAATGAATCAGTTTCAACATGGCAAAGTACGAAACTGTATCATATTGACCGAAGAAGCTATTGTGTTTTTTACTTAAGTTAATTAATAGTTCCGTAAGAAAATAATATGTTTTACTTTGCTGATAATATTTAATTTCAATATTAAAGTTGCGTGTAAAACTTTGAATTATGCTATTAATTGTTGCGTTGCAACTTTCGAGCTATATTACAACAGCTACGAATTATTTAAGTACGTTAATGAACGTCTAATAAGACGTGCCAAAGCCAAAAAGAAATGCCATAATACGAAGTCAAATAAATTTTATTATTAAAAGAGTTACTACGAATTGTATAATGATAAAAATATATTTATACACATAATACTTTGGTAAAAAATATCGCTAAATTATACTATAAGCATTATATACAATACATATGAGTACATATGAACACAAAAATATTACACAAAAATATTGCCTTTACGATGTGTAATTAATTATATAATTGCAAAACTAAGTACATTCCGAACGCTGCAGCGCGCATACTTTTTAACTTGAGAAAAAAAATTTGTACTTCAAAACTACCAAGATACTGTCAATGTACTTGACAAAATAACTCAAAAATTTTTATACGATTGGAAGAAACACCAATCAATGAAAATAAAACTTGATCATGATATGTAAAGTTAAAAAATATTTACATTGACATCCTTGTGGCAGTCTTTTAAAAATAAGCGGGCAAGATTTGTATTTTTGAAAATATTTACCTAACTAATTATCACAAGGGGTCACAAAAATAAATAAACTAAACTAAATTGTGGTTTCCGAATCGATAGAAGCTTGCCGTTGTGAACTGTATGCAGGAGGGCCATTATTAAGAAAGGCCATCGATCTCATACTGTTTCTATTAGGATTGTTGCGTTTTTGTGGCACTTGAGGTGTAGCATGACTGTGGTAATGTTTAGGGGCATTGTAACTAATAGCCCTAGTCCCGTGAAAGTTCGAGTAACTTGATCTAACTGAAGCCGGTCTGTTGTTATACAAATCATCAAAATCTTCGGTATCGTTAAGTGATTGGGTAGATGACTGTTGGTAAGTAGGGTTCGAATGTCCGTTATGTTGCCAATTCTGGTGAACCATCAGATTGTTATTAGATACACTATTATAGTAATTTGGTAAAGAATCAATAGGAGAAGGACTAGCTGGACTATCATAGGCATGTGTTTTTTGCTGTTGCTCCAACAAACGCGTGACGGGGTTTTGCGTCATTCTACGCGAACTTCTTGTAGACGAACGTGCAGTAGAGTGTCTTCTACTACTGGTACTATGTCTGCCAGAGGAACCTCTTGTCATTACACTACGACGCTTTACTCTTCTAGGTGTCATTGGCTTGGGTGAAACTGGTTGTGGCAAATGTTCGTTATCAAACTCATTATCACTATCATGTCGGTTTTCCAGCTGAGAACTAAATTCGATTGAGTAGAGAGACATTCGTTTTGTGTTTTTTCTTGACGATTTACGTGATGCTGTTAAAAAAGTCCACTCTTAGTTCGTTTTGAGAAATCAATAGCTCAATAAAAAAATACAATTTTACATCAAATCAAAAATTATAATTTATTTGTTAATAAAACAAAACAACATGCATTAAGCTACGGCAAGCTTAACAAAGTCAAAGTTAACGCCAACAGTTATTTTATAATTAGTCACTCATAAATAGAACACATAATCCAGTCCCAATATTATAAAAACCAAATATTGTCACTTAAACAAACCGTCACAAAAACAATACTGACTAGATACGAAACCTTCCAGCAAAAACAATACTGCGATATATAAAAATAGAACATATTTTTATTATTAATTCTTTGTAAAACAACAAATTTTGAGAAAATCTGTATTTTCAAAAACGTTATTAATTAATTTAGCACTGAATTGTCTTCTACTAACACGACATTTATATAGCATTGACAGTGGTTGTATTTGCTGGAGCTTGTTATTAAATGCAAAGTCTTAAAAGTTGAGATCTGAATCAAAATAAGGCCTTGTGGCTATTGACTTAGGTCTAGTTGAGCGTTTGTGTTTTTGTGCATTTAAAACGTTCAAAGAAGAACTTCGTTGTATGTATCTTATGGTATCAGCATGTAAAGGATTTTTGCTTTTGCCCGCATGCTTACGGCATTGTGAGCATGGTAAAACTGGAGCTTTCGACTTTACATTTAATTTAGTGTTAGATTTAGAAAAATGTTGATTAAGGCCATCACTGGTGCTCACGTACATCGGATGTAAAGAAAAATATTCAGGACCTTTACCATCTTCATAATTAACTGAAAATAGAGTATCAAATAGCAACTACACTACAGAAGAGAATAATTAAAAACTACTAAACACCCTAAGAAGAATTTACCATTGCATCCCATTTACCAACTTACCACACAGTTTGAGGATCAAATCCACCAATGAAATCAACTGCAAGCAGATTAATCATAAGATTATTGGCTGATTATAATAACATAATCAGCCAAATAAAAGTGAAGTTGTATTATACACAAGGTGAGTTAGTAAAATACAATCTACAAATAATACTTAAGCTACAGTTTAACTTACAAGTATCATCTTCCTCTAAAAATATACGACTTAAACATATTCCAATCACAATCCCGATTAACTGTAAAATACATTAGATCAGCGATTTGTAATAATAATAAAAACAAACATACTGAAGTCACACACTGCAGCCCCGCCTGGAAAATTTCGACATGTACGTAATTTACAAGACAATTCTCACTAGCAGTCTGATAAGATTCGCTCAAAATACGCTTACATCCTGGTCCCTCGTTGCTCCACCAGCTCTCACTCTTTGGGTCCAATTTGAGCACTTTATTAGTCTACAAGATTCAGAAAATTGTTTTATTTCCCATGTTTAATGTGACAGGAAATTAACTATGTATACATAGTTCAATGTAATATGATAAAATGTATTTTAGGCAATGTAATGTTAATAAAACGGCTCAAATAATAAATTGTGAAAATTGTTAGTATAAACTATCTGATTATTATTATTTCCCTTACTATTTTGTATTTAAACGATAATACGAAACTCTAAGCTCTAAGCCAATGTTCAGAAGACAATGATGCTTGATTGTTAAATGCCTACACAATTGCACAATATGTACTGGTAAATATTGATATTTTAAGCATGATTGCAAAACATCAACTGACTTTATTTATTTTCTAATGATTCTTATGAATGATTATAACAAAAAAAAATCTAATGGCAACACTGACGTATTGAAAATTCATTGGTAGATTTTTACTGTAACTTGATATTAATGAAATGAGACAAAAACAATTCGAATTTCTTAGAAATAGAGTTATTTCTGTACCTACTAACAATCCAAAAATCACTTAACTGCATACAACAAAAATACTTCAAACTGAAAGTAATAGTAATTATTTCGAGCTATTGTTCTATTTTTTGTGCATTATGTGTGAAAGAAGTATGGTATAAACAATAATTATGTAATCAGAGCAAAATTGTGCAAAATGAATCATCATATCTATTTTATACAAATATCAAAAAGAAAGTTATGGCGCATGTGTGGCATACCTTATGGTCCAAGTTGGCTACATCTAAATATAAACAAATGATGAAAATGTTCCATCCCAACCAGAAGAGGTGCCACAGAATGTACTAAAATATACAAAATCGATAAAATTCATAAAGAGTATACAACAAATACTCACTGATATGATATACTTAGGCCGATATTGATAGGCACCAAAAAATCCTAGTATAATGAAAATAATTTCAAAGAAGTTCACCAAGATTGGTATCCAAAGAAATCCCAGAAAATCAAAAACTTGCCTCTCGATAACTGATAACTAAATAAAGACATGTCTATTATAATATCAAAAGAACAATGAAACGAACCTTACCATTTGCAAGAGACAAACTGATAAAAAAAAGTATCTTCTTGAGCAAAATCCCATGTCATTTAGCCTTTTTCCCTGTCGTTCTTTCGTTAAAACCTTTTTACAACAGCCTAGACAATCCCAAAACCACCCACTTCACAACCATCTTTCGTAAACATTATTATTTAAATTAAAAATTTCGTTAACTACGCGACGAAATCCTTTTATTTGACATTTCACGCAAGAACGCAAAGTCACTAAACAGGTGCGCGTGAAAAGTAAATATCCCCAAATATTCAAAAAATGTTGTAATTTCGAAGCGGCACGTCACAAACACTTATAGAGTAAATCTCCGTAGCATTTGTAAAGTTTTTTTGACGTAATTTTATAAAACTTGTCCGATTGTTTTGCCGGAGTTTCACTCTCCTCAGATGCACACCCGTGCTTGTAGCGAAAACCACAGGTGTATTGATGTAAAGACGTTTTAAAAAACTGGCGCGAAACTGAAAATACTTCACCAAAACGTAAGCCAACAGAGCCAAAAAGACCAAAAAAGAAAAAATCGCCACATAATTCAGTACAGAAAGAACCATGAAGCTCTATTTCATATTTTTAACACAATCACCTGTAGACTGGCTGTCAAGGTTTGTTTACCTCATCACCATGGCAACGACAAATTATTTAATCAATTATTGAACATTTCTCACATGAATTATTGAAACTTTGCTGAAGTAATTTATTCAAACACTAAATACAAAAAATAAAAAATCACGACTTTATAATACTGTGAACGAAGTTTTTGAACTCTTCAACTTCATAGTCATTCTTAATTTCAGTGCGTTTTTCCGCCCCCATAACAGCAACGTTGCCTTCAAAACCTAGCAAATTTTCAGGGTCGCCACCTGTATCATAATCGCCATATCCCTTTAAACCAGTCAGAAAATCTTGGACAGATTTATATCCATTCGTTTTGGCCAAAGGTGCAAGAATTCCTGTGGGTCTCTTGCCTTGCTTAAGTCGACAAAGGGAGCAGTTGCAACAGCCCCTACACACGTAACATTTCCAGTTGGGGTCTTTTAAAGCCTGAACAGGATCTTCGCCATATCGGTTTATCACACAGATTCCACAAAATTGGCCACGTGTCCCTACGCAAGATCCACTGCGGCAGATGGTTTTTGTGTCCACGGTTTTCTGTCTGCATTGATGACAACTGGTCCCGGCAGTCCCATACACTTTATTACCACCAACTTGGATATCTCTGATCATTTCTTCTGTGACTTCTTCAGCAGGGATTATTCTTGAAGACAGACTACGGGAATACCATTTCCTTGGCTTTTTTACTTGAAAAACCACATCTTCAAGGTCTTTAAGTGAATTGGAATCATGTGTAATCTGGCTCTGTATGTACAAAAAATAAATAAAATAAATGAAAAGCGCCTTAACCACTTAACGAAAGAAAGACATACCTCGTCTGGTAAATCCTCATAGACAAAATCAGGTTTTTTGTTTTGTAACCGTGCAGAACTTCGTCTTTCACTAGGAACTACCCCAGTAAAGCGAAAACTTGAGTCTCCTCTTTTTCGTTTATTCCTAGTAGAGGATGATGCTTGTTTCTTTGGTTTACCAAATAAAGAAAGGCCCTCGACAAGAAAAGAATCATTCATAAGAGATTTTAACTGTAACAAAATACTACAAGTAAAGTCATTGTACTTAATCGTACTTACAAATGCATTTCGTTCTTCTAAATTTTTCTGTCTGAGTAGTTCGAGATCGCTTGGTTCTTCAAATCCATCATTCGACATATTTGTTTACGTTAGGTAATAATTACAAACAAAAAATAAATTAATAACAGAAATATAAGGGGAAAATGAGGTTAGTGATATTTTTATATCAAGGTTAGTAACAAGGAATTCCCGCCTTTTAGATGTGACATTACAGATTTCTCTGTAAGATTAGTTAACCTTATAACAGTGAGATGTCACTACAAAAATATACAGGGCTATTCACATAAAATGTCGAGTCGGCTAAAAGGTTTCAAGACGCAACACACAATACATTCTTATTAAAAAAATAACAATGTTCAAAGTGAATTTTAAATTTTGTGTGTCGAAGTTTTGACATTGGCAATTACTGTAGACGTAAAAAAAATTACAGTTTCCTGAGGTTTATCACTTTTTTTAATAATCTTAAAAATAAAGTAAGGGAGTAGGTTGAATACGAATAAATTCTGTTTCATTAGCGGGAACTTGATTTTATTGAGAGACAGTTTGCAAAATCTTCAATTACTATCAAATTTTAATTTGCCTTTAATAGACTTAATAAAAGCCAATTAAAATTTAATTTACGACTAAACTAATTCGAATTAAGTTGTCATTTATTTTACATTGTTAAACCTGAAATTAATCGCGAATTAAAATTTGATTGCAATTAATAATGTAAATTGTCCCACAGGACGCAAAATTGGTTGAATCCACTTTTGGTAAGAGTCGACATTTTATGTGGATGATCCTCTATAATTTTCAGAATATTCACCCATTCACCTACTGTAACGAATGCATTAACAAATCATTTTTTTTGTAAAAAAATACGTTTACAAATTATTGGAATCACTATGTTGATAAAGTTTGTTATCAGGAAGAAGTTGGTAAAGATGATAAAAAATTATTTGGAACATTATCTATCATCAAATTGATTTTTAATGTTCGTCCAAAAAATATTTTGCAAAATACGACTACCCTTATAGCAAATTCATATTTTGAATAGTGACATACTGCAATTATAACTGATTTATTAAGAATTAGTGAAATCATTAAATCTGATAATACTCGTGGATAAAAAAAAACTTACTTATTTAGACATCAACGCGAACGTCTTGTTTTTATTTACTCAACTAGGATTCAAGTAGGTATATACTTGAATAGATAAGAAACAGTCGGGTCGGGTGCACAACCACTCGTTAGTTCAGAAAGATTACAACTTATTACCCACAAAGTGAACATGAACATATTCTGAGATTCAATTTGTGTCTATGTCAACGTAAATGAAAAACGATTTGGGGGCAAAGTTGTTAAGAGACCACAAATATGCAGGATGAAAACGAAAATAAGTCTCTTCTATTGTAAGTAACGTTCAAATTTTGTTATCTCAAGATAATAATTACTTCTAGTTTGAATAATGGTAACAAATACGGAGCAATGCACAAAAGTGACAGTGGCACTCCTAAAAAAGTGATATTTTGTGTTCATGGAAAACCAAGTGCTGGCTGTTGTAAAGTTTTACAAAGTGAAGTCATCGACATCAAGGAAGGAGATTTTGTTGACACACCAACTAAAGAAAATCAAGATGCCACCGAAATGAGTAAGTTGTGTTTATCAATTGATAAGCAGTTAATGACTTTACCACATATCTTATTCACATGGCAATAAATTGTCTATCTATACATATATATTTTTTATCCTGACACTTAGATTTTACTTTTTTTTCTTTTTTTTTATAGTTAATAAGCATTGCCATCGAGGGAAATCTCCGGAAATTGATCGAAAAGCAAGACGAAAATTAATTGTGGCCAGTATATTATGTGTACTTTTCATGATTGGAGAAGTTATAGGTATTTAATTGTTTATCGTTATTTTTAGTTTGTTCAGTTTTAGTCGAACAAAAATCAATAAATGTACAGGGTGATTTTAAAGCTTGTGCAAATATTTTAACAGGCTTAAATGAAGACTAAATAACTAAATAACTAAACTTGCCTTATCCAAATGTTTATAATTTCTGAAATATAGCTGATGCAACGTCCTCTTTGGCGTCGGAAAAATGCGATATAAACGAAGTTTGAACCTTTTGAGTACTTTATTCCAAAGTTTACATTACTATTGGTTATTTGGTCACATTTGAGGTAATGAAATTCGGTGGTATCGCAACAAAAAAAATCTGGTGTGAACATCACACGACTTTCCTTATCCTACTTATTTGGAAAACATTTTTACGTCCTTGGAAATCCGAGTAGCAAATCTAATGTTTGTGTTAGTGCCACCTGCCGGATTACACGCGAAATAGATCATAGTTGTCGCGGGTTCAAGTCTGGGGTGCAATTTTTTTTATTATTTAATATTTTTATTTTATCACATTTTACTGTTTAATAACGTATATTCCATGATTCTAAATAATTTTTTTCCCTATGAATTCAATCGTATAATCTTGCGGCCGCTTTACTGCAAATTTTTGGTCTTTGCGGCCGAACGGTGCGACCGATTTTTACCAATCGTACTGCGTCCCCTTCCTGCAAGTAACTTACATACCAAAATGAGGCACATTATAAAAATATTTCTATTTATATACAGGATGTCCCAAATAAGATACACAACTAAGTTCTGTTTTTTTAAATAAAAACCCCAATTTTTTATTACATTTCTGGATTAGCCACTAAATTGTCAATATAACGTACCTTGGTCTCTTAGACTTACCTACAATAGTTTTTGACTTATGCCAATTTATGTGTCAAAATTACATCGTACATAGACCCATAAAAAAATTCATAACTTCAAAATTATTCAAGATAATTTAACCAACTTTTTTCCAGTTGATTCCTTAAGCCTTAGCGCGTCTTCTGAGATAAAGGCAAACTCAGAGTCGATTTACATCGCGTGCTACGATTTATTGAAAATGACAAAATACAAATGGAAATAACTCGACTTTTTCAAATACAACACTCTATATTTTATTACATCGTTGCATGGCATTTTTTATGAGTTTTCTGTCAATATAGGATTTATGGGGTCTACTTTGCAAAATTTATGAGATTTTTGCAAAATAACATTTCTTATTTTGCAAAAATCGTACAAATTTTACAAAGTAGACCCTATAAACCCTACATCGACAAAAAGCTCATAAAAAATGCCATGTAATGATGCAATAAAATATATAGTGTTGTATTTAAAAAAATCGAGTTATTGCCATTTGTATTTTGTCATTTTCAAAAAAACGTAGTAGGCGATGGAACATTGATTCCGAGTTTGCCTTTTTTTTCAAAAGATATGCTAAAGCGTAAGGAATCGACTGGAAAAAAATTAGTTAAGTTGTCTTGAATAGTTTTAAAGTTATGAATTTTTTTGTGGGTCTATGCACGATGCAATTTTGACAAATAAATTGGCATAAGTCAAAAACTATTGCAGGTAAGTCTAAGACACCAAGGTGCGTTATATTGACAATTTAGTGGCGAATCCAGACATGGAATAAAAAATTGGGGTTTTCATTTAAAAAAACGGAACTTTGTTGTGTATCTTATTTGGGACATATATGAATAGAAATATTTTTGTAATGTGCCTCATTGTTGGATCTATTGTTTAAAAAAAAATCATGTCGATAACTTGGAATGAAAAAAAGTTATAGAGCGTGCACGAACCCCTGGGTCACCCTGTATTTGCACAAACTTTAATATCACGCCGTAATAACACTGTTAAGTTAAACAAAAGGTATATCACTTTCTGGCATTTTAAGACCCAATTTGATTAATTTAGATAATTGTAGCCATTTATTAAAAATTAATTTTTTTAGGTGGCTACCTGTCAAATAGTTTGGCAATAGCATCTGACGCCGCTCACCTACTGACTGACTTCGCAAGCTTTATGATATCTTTATTTGCCTTATGGATGGCAACTAGACCCTCTACAAAAAAAATGCATTTTGGATGGTATCGTGCTGAAGTGATAGGTGCTTTAACATCTGTTTTGCTAATCTGGGTAGTTACTGGAATATTGGTCTATATTGCTGTACAAAGAGTCATACATAAATCTTTTGATATTGATAGTAAAGTAATGTTAATTACTTCCGGTATAGGTGTTCTTGTTAACTTAATGTAAGTAAATTAATTTAACTACGATAATGACTCATTTAGTAACATTTAGAATGGGCTTAACACTACATCAACATGGACATTCACATGGAGGTGGTAGTACACATTCTCATGATAACATCAACGTCAGGGCAGCTTTTATACACGTTATCGGAGATTTTTTACAAAGTTTTGGTGTTTTTGTAGCCGCTGCTGTAATTTATTTCAAAGTAGGTATTTCGAAAAAAATTGGGAAACCAGTTTTCACAACATTATTGCTTTTTAGGAGGAATGGGTAATAATCGACCCCATCTGTACCTTCATTTTTTCAGTATTAGTAATGTTTACCACATTCAATATTATAAAGGATACTTTAACAGTACTAATGGAAGGAGCTCCTAAAGGAATTGATTTTAATGAAGTTATGACAACACTCTTAAACATAGAAGGCGTTAAAAGAGTTCATAACTTAAGAATATGGGGTTTAAGTTTGGATAAAATTGCAATGTCTGCTCATGTTGCTATTAGTAATATTCTAAGGCAAGCTAAAATTCTATATTAAGTGAATATTCTTAGGTCCTGAAGTAAATCCACAGCATGTTTTAATGGTTGCCACTAAAAATGTCCATGATAAATACAACTTCTTCGAAATGACATTGCAGATTGAAGAGTTTCAAGATGCCATGGAAGACTGTAGATTGTGCAGAAATCCGGTATAAATATATATTACATGTCACCAAATATTTTTTACAAATCATTATATTATTACATTTCAAAGAATTTAAAAGAATAACTTATACCTACTTCTGACTTGTATTATTCCTCTTTCTGCGTATTCATTTCTTAGGTAAAATTTAATTCTCACACTCATTTATTATATTAAATCTCGTATATTTGGTTGCAGCAAATCAGGCGTATTAATTATACTGTGTAAGTTTTCTTGCATTTTCGTAAGAAATATTGACTTAAATTATTGTAAATTATTTCACCAGTAGACCTCAATATAAATTAATTTTGAGAAATAATTATTATATGGTTTATGGCTGTTGAGGGTGATGCCAAACATCTGGAGAATCCACAAGAACCTTTCCGTTTTACCTGCTTTTCAGCAATCACTTCTCTTATTTCGAAATCATTTTTTATTGACGTCTATTGTTGAAATAGTTTACAATTTAAGTCAGTATTTCTTACGAAAATGCAAGGATTTTATACTACAGTAGTATCATAGATTAAATATTATTTATTCTATGGTAGTATTCAAGTTCTACCTAATTGATTTTTAATTATAATATGCGAACGCAAAAATTAAACAGTATTATATAAAAAAAAAATTTTAATTTGAAAAAATTAACAAACTAATTCATACACACTTTTGTAAATTTTTAGATAACTACTACAATTTGAATTGTGAAAACTACTCAGACTAGTGACATAACACATAAAGGCATAAATGTTGTAAAAATGTCTAACAAAATAATTTTGAGGTGATTTCTAATATTATTCCGAAGAAAATATAAAAAAGTACGCTTTTTTATTTGATAATTTTAAGTTAACATTTTTTACTTCTTTGCTACCTGTTATCTCCCAAAGCCACGACGACCCAAACTTCATACTTGCCCATCGTTTCTACCTGTGTTAGTAGTATGCGCTGACAAATTTTCAGCTTTTATAAAATGACGAAGGACTGGCGACCGCAGGCTCTTGCTCTATTAGGTACATGATGTTTTAAATTTTTAACTTCCATTTTTGTGTGAACTTATTTATTTATGTCTAAAGATATTTTCTTTTAAATAATAAATAGAAACATTGGTCAAATATTTGTGTATGTTTATGTTATGAAATACATAAAACAATCTACTAAAGTATGAACTAAAAAATATTTACCGCACCGTGTTTATACATTTCTAATCGTTAGTTAATTTTTCTGTTAATAAACAATTATTTTACGATAATTGAAAAGCAAGCAAAATCTCAAAAATAACCCATACGGCAAGTAAATTATGAGAAAAAATAATTGCATATAAATGAGTTTCCTTGAAATGGTTTTTGTTGCAAATAGCAAATTTTTTTAATCAACTGTTGTTGGACAGTTTAATCAGTGTCATTAATTTCGTTTTTGTGTACGTTTATAAAATTGAAAATATTGTTTTGAGTCCCAAGAAGTACTTGTGCAAATTATTATTTTGTAAAACTTAATGAGAGCCTTGACTATGTTACCGATTTCTCATAATTCAATGTCATTATAAAGCAGATTTCCTGATTATAACTATACTTTTAATTTGCTGCTTCCTTAATCCTTATTTCCTCTGGGTTAGTAGTTACCCGAATAATTAACATTGATCGGTTTTATTTCGATCAAAATTTTGATATTTTACCTAGAAGAAAGGTAACTCTAATTTTTTCTTAGAAATTCATAAACAGAGGACATCAAATATATCTATCCTTTAAAATAGCCGTGGCCAAGGTCAATATTATGAGGGTTTTTGCACACAAAACGCGTGTAAACCAGAATTTAGGCTTCTACTCTCATTATTCTTAATAGGTTTCTACTTACATTTTTACCTAAGATTTTGCTTCCATTCATTTAAAGTTTTTGTTTTATATAACTTGTAACGATGTAAAAAGTTGTAAAATACCACACTGTTTGAAACATACTGAAAATAAAATTTGTGCTGAAATCATAATCACTGTTATAATAAAAAAATAAAATAAAATAAAAACAGTGTATGTTTTCGTCCTAAATTACCCTTGAAAGTTAAAAGCGTCTAGTCTAAATAAAAATTTTAATTCGTACGGAACAGTACAACAGTACAAGTGACCTTTTACGATGAATATTTTATACATGAGGTATAAATATAAAAAGTTGCTCTGATTTACGGCAGGAGTAACTACCAAAAAAATATGTCCAAACCACTCAAAATAAAAATTTATGTTGTTAGACATTTTTATAACCTTTATGTCTTATGTCAATAATCTGAGTAGTATTCGCAATTTTCAAATTGTAGTAGTTGTGTGCAAATTTACAAAAGCGTGTGTGAATTGGTTTGTTGATTTTTTGAAATTATAGTTTTCAAAAATATTTTTCTTTTATATAATACTGTTTATTTAATCTTTTTGCGTTCGCATATCATAATTAAGTGAGTACTACCATAGAGTAAATAATATTTCATCTGTGATACTACTATAATATACTGCTTGCATTTCCGTAAAAAATATTGACTTAAACTGTAACTTATTTTAACAATAGACGACAATATAAGATAATTTAAAAGAGAAGTGCTTGCTGAAAAGCAGGTAAAACGGAAAAGTTCTTGTGTCTGTGGATTCTTCAGATGTTCGGCATCACCCGCAACAGCCACAAACCATAAAATAATTATTTATATATTGTTAGACAAATATGAGCTCGTATTTACTTTTGTAATAATTTAGTGTTAATATTTTGAAATGAGGGTTATTTTAAAATTATGAAAAACTAGAAAGTAGTCATAAAAATTCAGTGTCACGTGTCATGTGATGTACAAAATTATTAATTCAATGAACTGTTTAATATACATCGTAAAATACTAGTTTCAACTTTCAGGGTAGGGTCAATGATATAGTTTAATTTGTATAATTAAGAAAGAGACAATGTCAAAGAATTGTTGAATGTCTTGTCAATTTAAATTTTTGCAAAACCAACAAGTTGAAAATTGTCCTTGAAAATTGAAACAGTATAAGCACTATTTATTCATAATCATAGTTATAATTTTTTTAGTTGTTTCTCGTAATACTTCTTACATAATCAGTTTTTTTGTCTCAGTAGCAATTTATAAGATTGTATTCCTTATATTGTATATTCAAATTTTAATAATATTAATTAGTCAAACTGCATTAATCCAACAAAACGTACCTACTACCTATATACAGATGTGTCAGAACTCGCGCTCCAGAGAAAAATTTCAAGTAAGATAATATACATTTATTGACATTTATTTTTTAACATTTGCCATTTTTTATATCTATTTAATGACACTGATGATCTTGTATATGTTTTTTTTTTATAATTATCTAGTAAAGGTATAAAAATTTTGCCAATAAAAGCCACAAATAACATTAAACAGAGTTACAATTTAGGATAGAACTTCCTTGTTTCCTCTTCTAATAGCCTGCAGCAAAAAGACATAAAAAATTATTTATCCAACAGAAATTAATAAAGTCAAAATGCAAAATTTAAACTCTCATAACTCCGGAATTCTTATAGATAGAATTTTTTTAACATTTCCATGTTCTTGGTATCGTACTTTAAATGGCATTTTTCTCTGAGGGCGCGAGTTCTGACGCATCCTGTATAATACATTAACGTTTTTATTGAATCAGTTTTGGGGTAAAATCAAGTTATTTTAAAATGAAAAATTTGATAAAGATTTTAACCATTGTCTTTTGTCTTATGCTATTGGTACATAAATAACTATTACATTGATAAAAAAAAATATTTGTGATAAAATAATCGCATTTTGATTTAATTTCGCGTCTTAACCAGGATTTATATAACAAAAAACAAGTTTCTAGTTTTGAAATTGCATTGAATACAAATACAAAAGATGAACACTAATGTAGTGATGGAACAAAATTTTCCATTCGCTTGATTAATCAAAGAACTTAAAGAAGATTAAACAACACCGCAATTGTACAACATTCGAGAACGGTAGTTCAGCATGACAAGCAAATCTAGAAATGTAAATTTAGCAATTTAATGAAAATTATTTGAATCATAAAAGCTATAATCTGAGATGCGATTAAATCTTTACTACGTTTAAAATACGTATGTTTTTATTGTCAAAATAATGATGAAACAGGATTGTAATTCTCTGACAGTAATGGATTATGATTATAGTGATGTTATCAAAATAGGTACATCAATTTATCATCAAAGCAAACAGAACTTTGTTATGCTTTCGACGTAATTGTTACGCACTTAGTTTCCAAAAATAATTACAAAATATATTTTTTTGCATTATTCTAGAAACCCTAAATCTAGCTTTGCCTTTATATATCACGCAAAAACCTACGCAGCACTTTTTAAAGTCATTTATTTAACCACTTACTGTGTTAATCGCATTAGTATTTTTAGGTGTTAATTGTGTAAGAGTGTGTAATAAAATAATTAACGAAAATACTTAATCTATCTATGATACGTATTTTTGTTTTAATATTAAAAAACTGCATAGTGGTACTAGTACTAGTGGCTATAAATAAGCTTACGTAAATTCCAAGTTGATTTGCAATTGAGAATAGAGTAATTCGATAGAATGGAAACTTTAAGGTCGTTTGGTATTTTATTTTCATGTAAACTTAAAAACACTAGCAAATCAATATGATGGTTTCGAATCGATTAAATAAAATTCTTTCTACTTCCGTGAGAGAAATTAGTTTGCACGTGCAATTTTTCCTAAAACTATCTGATTACGTTATAATTATAGCATGAGCAAAATAATTCTGTACCTGACTTCATTGCTTTAAAAATCATAATAACAAATAAAAACATTTCAATGAGTATTTTTCCAGTGGAAGGTTATTGGAACAGAGAACGTGCAACACGTACAAAGAACGAAAGAAAAAGATAAAAAAGGTAATACCGATTTAAAAGTATAACCGATGCACACTGCAATGAAAATAAAATTATTTTGTTAAATATAACTCTGCGCCGCTACTGCTTCATTAGCGGTTTCTGCCAGCCACTTTCACCAAATTAAATAGGAAATAGGTTAAACTCCCTTGATGCAAAAATGAATGAATATTGGTTAATTATAATCAATAATATTTA